GTCATTTTTAAGGGAAATGCTTTGCATTGCATCATTTTAACATATAAAAGAATAAAATCATTATTAGTGAAGTACTGGAATGCATTAGTTCTGTAATGATTTGAAGAACAGTAAGAAAAATACAAATGAATTGTTATGTTTCTTCAATTATTCAGAAACTTCCTGCTTTCTTGATCCGTGTGTTTCATCAAAACTGTATCTGTGGGTGATAAAATGATGGATAACCCGTGATCTACTTAGTTGATATCATTATAGAACAATGTCTTGTTATTATTGAGATATTATGCTGTTTTAACACATCTACATAGGATAAGTTAAAATATTCTCTTAGTAGGGAACCAGTGAACCAAAAATACTAATTTTCTCTGAAGTTATGGAATATGATAATACAAAGCTTTCAAAATTTTTGTGTAAGATTCCTGCTTTCTCAGAATACAACTTGCAGTTTTTCTATTTTCCAGAATACTGAGGGGAATACTACAGTCCAGGCATTATTCATTTCCTATTGTCTTTGGCTGCTTTTGTACTACAATCACAGAACTGAGAAGCTACGAAGAGAAGGTGTACATTCTCATTAAATATATTTTCTAGGATATTTTATCCTTTTGGTTTTAGCAGTTGGTGGGTACAGTGTACTGTGACTGTCATTCATAAAAAAATTCCAAGGTTTCCAGAGTCTTGTAGCAGTGTTTTCCCCAGAACATTGAAATCACACATGGTGGTATGACGGTCTACTCTTGCTAGACTTTGTGTTATTTTGATAGCGACTATTTTTCAATTTTAGTGCTCTGATTGATTGTTGTTTAGTCTATGTACTAATTTTCCTCTAATACCAGGGTAATGTATTTATAGTAGAAGTAAGAAATGAGTTCTTCATAGTAAGTTCAGCAATTTATTTAAATGAAATATTTCTCCTTGTAAATTACGAGTATAAATGAACCAAGAACTCAATTTTTTTTGTACGTAAAAGGTTAATTCTTAAGTTTTCCTGAGAGCCTTTTTAACTTTTCAGAAGTCTGATAGATTTATTAATTAAAATTGTTTAAAGCACTTTTTTTCTTTCTGTATTGTACCACACAGTATGTTACCACTGAGAAAGAACTTTAATCCCTGGTGAATATCTGTGGAGGGATTGCCCATCATTTTGCTTTCCCACCTCTGGAGAGAAGTCCTTTCAGGGCCTATCGCAGGTCCATTTGTCTGTTTAGTCAATGAAAAAGTAGAGGAAACTGATGCACAAGTAAATGATGCAAGCTACCATTTTGCTAGTGTGTGTTTGTGTTAGAAATCCAAGTCACAGGCTGACCATTGGAGAATGGTAATCTGGATTGCAGAAAAACTTCTTGTTAAGAAAAGGTTTGCCTCTTTTCATGTTCTTATCCCCTCATGAATGTACTTGAATTCACATGTTATAGTATTTACTAAGATGTGTAACAATATTCATGCTTGAGAATACATCATTATTTAATTTGTTTTTTCTTCATGCCCCTTTCCTTTAGATAACTTTAGCTATAGTTTTTAAGGCTTCATGAAATTTATATTGAAACCTGGGACTTGTTAGAGTAAAAAATGAATGTCAGAAACAATTGATATTTTATAGTTTAATAAGCTCTGCTGGAAGTTATTTTCACCATTCTTTTGTCTTCTGATATCAATTGTTAAATATTTCTGCTATTGTTTAATTATTTGCAGGTAGTTTGACTTGTACCTAGACCAATTTCATTCTACTATACTAATAAAGCATATTTCTGAAGATCAGCTAGTGTGAAAGGCTTTATCCAGATTAAAGTGAAAAGGTCTGAACTGCCTAGATTGTTGATGAAAGGAAAAAAATTATTGGAAGTATTTCATAATTATACATTTATAATTTAATCACTTCATTATAATCATATGATTTATGAATATATATATATAAATTATAAATTTGTGTAACAGTAAAATATGTTCATATGGTATCTACAATTATATTTAAAATTGGAAAAGACATTTTCACAATCAATAAATCATTTAATTCATCATTGACCAAGTTTCTTCTTCTCTACTTTCGTAGATTATTGAAGAGAAAACGTGTGCTGCTCAACTTTGTTACTCTAATCAGTCACTGAAATGATTTTTAGTGTCTTAATTGCCTCATAACATTAGAATAAAAATTTGTTCACATCTCTACTGCTTCACTTATATTTGAGAATATTTTGTAGTCCTAGTAGCATGAGTTAAAAAACTTAGAAGCTTACTTAAATGTGCATTTACTTCTTTTGTTATTTCTGTATTCAGCTCTCAGAATTGTCTTGTATGCTGTCTTTTTCCATATGCTTATATATTTACATTTATAATAGGTTTATTTTTTAAAAAGAAAGAAATACCATCTCTGTTCAAGAGTGTACATGTCTTCACTTGCATTCTTACGCTTAGAAAGACTGAAAGAGATGAAAGCTCTAAATAAGGAAGAAGGGGAAGAGTGAAGGAAGGATGATAAAAATCTTTAGAAAATATAAGGAAACACTACTACTGTTGTTAACAAATTAATTTCTCTAGTAAAACTTATGTCCTTTCCAGGAAAAATAATTGAAGAAATAGCATAATGAGATTAATATATAAAAGGTGAAATCTTTGTATGATCTCCAGGATTTCTTCTAATATAAGAAATCCATAATGTAATACATTAATATTCTGTAGCAAATAAAAGCTATACTAGCTATTAAAATGAAACAAAATATCAATGGAGTTTAATTCTTAAATTCTGAAGTCTATTAGATATTCAATAGGTATGTTTTGCCGTAGATTATAATATCTGTGAGAAACATCTACCACTAAGGATGGCAAATTTAATGGAAATGTATTAATGACAAAATGAAGAAAATAAAACCAAAATAGAACAAAACAAATCTGAAACTAAATTCTTATTTCCAAATATTTTTTCTATACTCTTCAAAGGAAACCTAAGAGCACACTTAACAGTGTCAATCAGGGTTATTTGAAGATAAGCGTATTCAAAAAGATTTGCTGATAAGAGTGAGCTATACAATAAAAAGGCCTTTTAAGAATGGCAATCTCATCTTTATTTTCACTAATGTCATATAAAATATTAATGTCAATATGATACATTTTATTCATGCTAGTTTACCAATTTTTTTTACCAAAACAAGTACGGTAGTCTGATCAATCATTTGTTTCATCTTTATTATTGCTAATAATACAGTTCTACCTATCTCAGTTATGAAGAGTGAGCAGAATAGGAATTGCTCAGAGGTGACTGAGTTTATTCTTTTGGGTTTTAGAGCCCCTCAAAAGTTTCAGATCCTCCTGTTCTTATTGTTCTTGGTGATCTATATGGTCACCATAGCAGGAAATGTCAGCATGATTATTGTCATTCAGATGGACTCTAGACTTCAAACACCCATGTACTTCTTCCTTAGAAACTTGTCCTATTTAGATCTCTGCTACTCCACAGTCATCGCACCCAAAACTTTAGCCAACTTCTTGACTAAGGAAAAGAAGATTTCATATAATGGCTGTGCTGCACAACTTTTCTTTTTTGCCTTGTTTGTCACAACTGAATGCTTTATTTTGGCTGCAATGGCCTTTGATAGATTCTCAGCTGTTTGCTACCCTCTCCTTTATCCTGTGCATATGTCCCATAAAGTCTGTATTCAGCTGGTGGCTGGATCTTATACCTGTGGATGCATAAATGCAATAGTTCAGACATGTTTCACTTTCAGTTTGTGTTTTTGTCAAGAAAACAGACTGGACCACTTCTTCTGTGATGATCCACCCCTGATCAAGATCTCTTGTGCTGATACATTTGTCAATGAACTTGTACTGTTTATTGTCTCTGCTTTCATTGTCATCAGCACCACAGTTGTCATTCTGGTGTCCTATGTGTACATCTTCTCCACTGTTCTGAAGATTCCTTCAACTCAAGGCAGAAATAAGACCTTCTCTACCTGTAGTTCCCATATGGCAGCAGTGAGTTTGTTTTTTGGGACTGTGTTCTTCACATATGCTCAGCCTGGGGCCATGTCCTCACCAGCACAAAGCAAAATTGTATCTGTTTTCTACACACTTATAATACCAATGCTGAATCCTCTAATATACAGTCTGAGAAATAGGGATGTGAAAGATGCTGTGAAAAGAATATTATGTGAGAAATGCTGCTGTCAGTGACATTTAAAAAATCAGTCTATAGTGGAAATATTTTGATTTCCATGGTTCTAAACATTATTGTTACTGTGAAATTATGTCAAAGATATTTTTGCATGTGGCAGTGAATGTCAACTTCCAATTACTAAGACACTAAGTAACTTAGTAGTGCTGAACTCAACACTGATATGACTGCAGTACTTTAGTTATCCAAACATATCCAAGTCCATTTTCTAACACATCTAAAATAATCTACAATTCTTATTGCATAGCCTAGAAACAAACA